TCAAACGCGCCGCTATTTCCTTGCGCCGATTACGGTGGCCCATTGACAAGGGAGAGTGTGATCGATTTTATGAATAGGTACAAGCCGGAGAACGGAGTGACTTGGTCTGGTCATAGCTTGCGAATAGGAGGGGCCTCCCTCAAAGCTCACATGGGTATGTTGTTGCGTGCGTTGAAAAGATCGGGGAGATGGAAATCATCGTGTTACCTGCTGTATGTGCGTCGCTAAAATAAGAAGACAGCGCAGCAGACTTTTAGTCTTGCGCAGAAATTGCGTCGGGATTTTCCTTTGAGGTTATAAACATAGCTCCTTGACCTCCTTTAAACTTGTTCTATTATTTGTATTGTTTACTTTTGCAACTAGTAGTAAAATATTGTGTGGGTGTTTTTTATATGTCGGGATCTCAGTACTTCGAGATTGGGGTTGGAGACCCTTCAGCAGAGTCTTGGCTCTCCGAACCTCGATCCCTGATTTGGGCTCTAAGGATCTCCTTCCCCAATCTACTGAGATTGTAGCATATTCTCGTAAGGTTCCTTCACAGGCGCCTGACAGAGATGCATCAAACGCTAGGCGTTTTTACACCCACAGCTGAGCAAGCCTCACTCCTGTTCTTCAGGAGCAAGTCTTGCGCCCAGCATCAATACCTAGCGTATTGGACCCATTCCCTAAGTTAGAAAAGCTTAGCTTTTCTATCTCTTCCTCCATCTCAAGGTTGGAGATGATGAGACATGGATGATTGTACTAACAAAAAACCTCCAGGATTGTTAGATCACAACCTGTAACAGATATTGGAGGGCATAATTTGAATTCAACAATCCCTTATATCTTTGTCCATTCTTGGTCAAACCACTTGATTTTTTGTTCATTGGAAAGCCGAACTCTGTGACTGTATCTTTCATTGAGACAAAAAACCTGCATCTAATCCCAAAGAATATCTATGTGGCTATGTAGGAAATTGTTTCAAAGACAGATAGGTTTTTTTGTAGCCGAGCTACAGATTTGATGCATTAACATAACATTCAAATGCATTTCATGGCTTCCTAATCAACTAACTATCAAGTGTTTTGACCCAGAATTGCAAAAGATATGAGGGATATGGAATCCCAGATATCCCCTTGTCACCCCTTGGCCAAATTCCAATCCGTGTTACAGGTTGTAATCTGAGAAACTTGGAGGTTTTTTGTTAGTAAAATCAACAATTTGTACACCAAAAATACAAAAAGATACTCAAATCCAAGGTCTCAGCCATAGGAACAATATGAATATTTTTGTGTATTTTTGTCTCTCTCCAAGACTGCTCAATATCACTGTTTTTTGGTTTTTATATTTTCTGCCCAGAAGATATTATATTTTGTGTAGTGTTCTATGCATTGTGGTTTTAAAAATATGAAAAAATATGCCAGACAATCGGAATGCATCAAAGGGCCCTCCCATTATTTTTTCATATTTTTCTGACCCTTGCCAGCTTCTCTATAATTTTCTATGTCTACTTCTAAACTCTACAGTAAATTTGCAATTTGGCGCAGTGTGATCTGATTCAGATACTATCAAAATGATCAAATCAGATTGAGATGATTGATTTTTGATTGATTAAAAGATGGATTAGTTTACCTTCTTTCAATGGAACTAGATTCTATCAATCTTTCTTGACATAATCCATCATGAGTTCTTTCAAGTGAGTTGACAGTTCTTTTATTGATTGTAGTTGAAATTCTTGATTTGAATATTCATTGTTGAAGTGGTCTTGGAGTTGAGAATGTGGATGGTTGATGTTGAAACTTGTACTGGTATGTGTGATTGTGATTTGTATCTTTTGATCAAGTGATATTTAATTACAGTTTCAGTTTGATTAATCTGCAGTTTCATTTTTGATTGTGGTCCAAAATTGATCAACTTTTGCTTGACTTCAACCCTCAATCAATTGAACCTTTGATAAGCCAAGATGATTCACCCTGGTGTTAACAGTGAGTTAAATCTGAGTTCAATCAGAATTGAGGCTGGGACCAATTCCTTCATCACAGAAACACTCAAAAATCACCTACATGCTTTAGTCAATGCAACACACAAGTATGCACTTGACAGTGGTGTAATAATGTGGTGAATGCAGCCACTATACAAATACATCATAGGAAATGTTGGTCTAGCACAGCCTATAGGTAACTTCATTGAGAGTTAGTAATCAGGATTTTGATGATCCTTGACAAAACTCACAAAGCTTTATTTGAGGAATATTATGAGCCCGACATAACTGATTGTGCTTGTATGCTGATATTGAAATCACTCTGGACTCAAGACTTGCAGTATCAGAGATTTTACATCTCTATGTTGCAATCTTATTATAACCCAAGGACACCCTTTTTTGTAGACTCTTGATTTCCAACTCACAAGGTCCTAATAAATAAGGAACATATGGAGATGTCCACCCAAAACACCAAAATGGTACTAATTTGAATCAGCAAGTTCGTACCATATACAGCTTTTACATTACAATTACATCACCTGAAGATATAACAGTCATGATTGGACCCAGATAATTATGCTTCTGAACTCTTTTCCTTGTGAGTATCTATAATTTCAGCAGACAATTTACATGCAGAAATCATGTGGGATGATTCATTGTCCCAAACAGTGAACTTTCTTACATACTCTTTTGAAGATTGTTAGTACATGGGTTGTAATCTGGTTCACACAGTATATGCATTAGGTATGAACATTACTTTTTTGGTTATTTTCAACAATGACAACTTAACATTTCTTGTGCATTCACAATACAAGCTGAGTGGAGATTCTTGAATTCAGTAGAAACCCCCTGAAACTAGGCCAAAGATAGGTGTTGAAATTCGGTGTAAGGGTATAAGTACAATTGAGTGCATTTTGTATGATAGCATTCACCAATCAATGCATGTTGCTTTGGACTGCACCCTGCGGATATTCGAGTTGATTTGCAATTGGCCTATTGGGGGCACGCCTGCAAAGTCTCTAGTAAATAAAAAAGGTCAAAATAAAAATTCATGCAAGTATTGTCAATGAACTAGCCCTAAAAATGGATTGTGCTCAAGTGCTTTGCCTATACTTTTCTGTTGGTATTCTTTTAAAAATATTAACAAATAGGCAGGTGTAAAGTTTGGCAAGGGAAAGGGCACAGGCCATGCCCTGGCGTTTGCGGGGCACAGAAGCCATACAGGGTGCCCTCCGGGTGCCCCACATCCAATAACAATTCTGAATAAAAAAGAAGAGACTTTCATGAAAATAATCAATTGAAGTTGAACCTTTGATTGTTTTCATTCTGAAGCTGATGGTTGATATGGAGCTTCACATCCTTTATATACTTCTGTACAATCTTCACATCTTCCAAGTAATCAACTTATTAACAATCACTGAACTAATAAACCTCATCTCTAACAATCACGAATGACAAAATGAGTTGGTCTCCTATCATATATTCCTGGTTCCAACTTTCTTGAAAACATTCAACTCTCAAGAATTTGAATGAGGATGTGACCAGAACAAACCCAACTGATTTCAAATTTCAGGCTTATGAGACAAATGACACCAAATGTTTGTATTTGGTTCTCAGTGAGCTCAAGATCCTTGTTTAACTTAAACTGAGGCTTTGATTCCAAACTCTTGATTTTTCTTCTCAGTAGAAGAATGCCAGTTTTTTCGCACAGAACTGATTGAAAGCCCAAAGTTAAAAGCAAGCTGATGGTTTTTCAGAGGTTATGATTTGCATTACAGAGAACACGGAACAGCATATCTGAAGGATTTGAAAAGACTCTTTTTGAGAAGATTGAGGATAATCAAAATAATGTATATTTGAGAAGGTATGTGTGTGAAGATTTAGCTCCTATTCCAGAGGCACTGATTGAGTTGCTTCAAACTTTGAGGAACACAAGAGATATGTCTAAAAACTGTTAGTTGAGGATCTCCATTTAACTTTCAAGCACACTTGCTCCATGAGTGTATTGGCCTTCATAGAGCATCTGTAATTGTCCATTACATGGCCTGCATCTGGAAAGTATCTTTTGAAGGAGACATGCAGTCTCTGTTGAAATGATGTGGTCAAAAGCATCAGCAAACTCCTCTGCTACATTCATATGATTTGGCTTTGGACTTTTAGTAAAGTACTTGAGACCTGCTTGCACTCCCAGATTGATTATGTGGGCTATACATCCATTGAGGTGTTTGGAGCAAGAGAATTGGGGAATACTACCTTCAAGGCAAGATGCCTGCAAAGTGTTATTGTTGGAAGCATTGTTGGCAGTGATGCAGTAAAGTTTGGAGTGTAACAAAAATTGATTGAGGACACATAGTGGATGTTTGGTTAGATTTTCACCACTGTGTGGACCTTTGATTTCAATAAGTGAAATGGTAGCATTCTTCAACTTAAATTTTGAATCAATCCAATGTGTTGTCACCCCCAAAAAATAGATTTGTGATTAGGTGAGGTCCAGCAGTCGCAAGTGAGGCTGATGTGATTGATAGATTGAAATTGCTTGATAAAGTCAAAATGATCCAAATATTGCATCTTTCAATGCAGTGGGAGTTATGAAAAGAGATTTTGATCTTGGGTTGAGAAGTGACAACAGATTTTCAAATGCCTTTGAGATGACAAACTGAAAAGGCAACTTGACTTGAATGCACATCTTGACAAGTGCTTTCTCAAAGGATTCAGGTGACAAAGTGGCCTAATGTGATTCATCATAACTGAACATGTAAGCTGATCAAAACAATATCACAGAAAATTGATAATGATGATATCTTATCATGTCATTTGGATCCACTTCTCCAAGCTCATCCTTGGATAACAATCTATGAATTTGATTGAGATGACAACTGAGAGATCCAGTGCCACCATTTGCATTTTGAGCTATTGAACTTTGACACAAATCATTTGCTAACTTTTCACTGGGAAGCTGGCAGACAAATGAACACAATTGGTGCAGCCAAATTGCACAAATTTCACCATGGTCAATCTTTCAACTCCTGCAATGAGGACATTAAATGATGAGGCTGGCTTCAGCTGATGTTTGCATATTCAGTTTTCAAACAGACTTGTTGTTCCCAGTAGGGGTCAAGGTCAGGGTGTATGGTATAAAGCTTTAACCAAGACTTTTGTGATACAGACTACAATTAAGCATCTCAGAGTAAAAAATGTAAAGCTCAAGGAGTGGGTGACTAGGTCATTGATTGCTGCGAGAAGAATGTCTTGGCCTTTAAACACGTAGGATTTACACAGTCTGGGCAGCGGAGACCAAGTTGTCTACCAGTGCGTGAATGACTCGGTAGGCTGAGATGCTCAGCCACTATATCTGCCATTGCTCGGACAAACACTGGATCGGCGTTCAAAGATTCCACACGCTTGACGCCAGTCATGCCCATCTAGAAGCAGGCGGTTGTGAAGACACGTGTAAGCGAACATCATTTCGGTCGTGGGAGGTATATGAATGGTGCAAGCTGACCTCCTTGGCTTCTTCGATATACTCCAAATCTAATTCAAAAAGAGTTTCGATGTGGTCGGAGGTAAATGCAATCGGTACCAGTAACAGATCATTGACACCTTTTTTGGCGTATCCCTTGATGGCATCTATTGTCTGGGGCCCCAGCCAGGCCGATGGACCTACCTGACTTTGCCAGACCAGCCGATAAGGATTTTTATGCTTCAAACGGTGCATCACGGCGTGTACCGTGGCAGCAACTTCGGATGGATATGTATCACCCCGGTTGACCACTGACATGGGGAGGGAATGAGCAGAAAATAACAAGATGACGTTCGATCGTACAGTCGGATCATATGTCGCGAGAGATGTCTCGATGTGCTGCGCAAATGCCTGGATAAACATGTCGTTAGAAGAGTAATTCCCGGCGAAGACAAGAAAAGACAGAGCGTTGGATGGCACCTCTACTAAACCAGGATGGGTTGGCCAACGATCTATCACACTCCACTCGATGCTACGCTTTTCGCTCTCAGATTTTTTGATCAACTGGCGATAAAGCTCGTTCAAACTGCTACCTGTTGTTGAGCAGCTATATTGAGGATATTGAGAAAAGGCAACGGCCCGAGTCACTCCGTCTTGAGTCATGGTTTCTAGGCAATCCTCAGTTAAAGGTCGAGCATATCGAAATGCGACATAAGGGCGGTGAGGGGCAGTCTGAGGCGAAAGTTCGTCGAGCAGTTTGCACATCCCTTCGCCTTGCTCCGTGGTCCATCTCAAGATGGGGGATCCGCCGCCAATCTTGGCATATTGTTCTTCTATTTTTGGTGTCCTTCTTTTGGCAATGAATGGCGCCAATGTGGATTGGAACGGTAGAGGAATGAGATCTCCATCGTGAAAAAGCCGCGACAGAAAATCGCCTGTCTCGTCCACAGTGCGTGGCCCGCCCATGTTCATCAGGACTACTCCAGTAGGTCTAAGTGGTGAGGCCGCATCAAAAAGGTATCAGCACGATCCTTGGTATAAGCAAGCCTTTGGAACAAACATGATGGAGAGCTTGCAATGCTTTGAGGGCAGATTCTCTGGACTTACCCATGCGAATGACCTGAGCGAGCCTCACGGAGGTGAGACAGCCGACGCCGAAGGACACCAGCCGTAGCACCATTAGGGATATCCAAGCCGCGTCGGAGCGTCGACAACATGGCGAGATGTATAAGAAGCCCTGGACTTCAGCTGGAACGGAATAGGCCTGTTGTAAGTTGTGGATCGGCGATTCAGTGAGACCGAAAGATTGAGATGTGGAAAGTTTTGTGTATGTATGTATGTAAAAGAACTTACAGCCGTTGTAAGATCTATCGGCAGATTTTTAGATCAGTGTTGTTGCCAGATTTAATGTAGAGGTCAAAAACTCCAAAAGACCCTTTTGAGACTGATAACTAAGGGTACTCAAAGTAAGTATGTACGTGTACATACTTTTTGCTATATACTTTTTTTGGCGGGGAAGGCGAGGCCAAAAGTATATTTTTTTTTCTTTGTCCCCGCCAAAAAAAGTATGTAGCGAAAAGTATGTAGCGCTACATACTTTGCTTTGAGTACCCTTACTCTACTGCCCATTGGTCAGATCTAGCACAAGAACAATTGAGTTACTCGCCAACGATTGGAGATGCTCTTAATTTTTGAGTTTTTGACTTCAAAAGTTAAGGGCCCGTTCGGCTGAGACCCAAAAACGGTTTTTGGCCAAAAACCCCACCAAAGCCAAAAACTGTTTTTGGGTTTTTCCAAAAACGCCGGTGTTTGGCAATTTCAATTGACCCAAATACAAAAACTGTATTTGATCAAAAACTGTCAAAATCGAAAAACAGCCTCAAGGCTGTTTTTCAAGCCAAAAAGACTTTTTGGCCCTTCACCTCAATCCACCGATCAACACCAGGAATTCACCACCTCACCATCTACAACCTCACCACCAACCCCACCACTCTCATAATCCCTACATATCCAAATCGAAACAAACCAAAGATTAGATCTAATTCTCAATCTTCTTCTCTAGAACATTCCTCTTCATCTCAACAGCCAATGCCTTGAAGACCAAAATGTATTTTATTTCATTCTAATCATCTAGAAATAAAATCTGATAGGAAAGCATACAAAAAGTTGATTTTATTATCTGATGTTGAGAATCATATCTTTGATTTCCATTGATACCATTGAGCAATTTGTTGTGAATAATATTCTTTGTATGTCTGATATGACTTTGGAAAGGTAAGAACGACACTCCATGTTGTTTTAAATCGTGTGATGCGAAGTGTCAAGAAAAGGATTGATGAATTTGGTTGTGACCAAACAGTTGAATGGTGATCAATGGTCAACGATGATCATTTTGATCTTTCGTTGACCTTTTTGGTTGACTGTTTGGTAATCTAAAAAAGCCGAAAAACGAGTTTCTCTATCCGCCCCTGAAAAAGAGTTTTTCAGGGGCGGATAGAAATTTTGTTTTTGTGTAACAATTTTTGGCTAAATCAGCCGAACAGGCCCTAAATCTGGCAACAACACAACTTTTCAAAAATCTGCCAGTAGATCTTACAAACGCTGTACTACATACAGGTTGGGCCCAAACTTAACTAAGTCCCAGTCTGGACCTAACCACCAACTCCAGAGAGGGACTTACACCTAAAGTCAATTTTTTGGTGTGAGATCTGTTGGGGCTTTGCACCAAAAACTGGCTGCCTTATAAAACTTTTTTTTTGTAATTTCAACTTGCTTCCACATTTATTATGAAGATTGTGCGCCTGGACTCCCTCTACAACCTCATACTCTTGGTTTCTTGTTATCTTGTTTGGATGTGTAGATAACCATAAGGGTTGTTTCGGGCCCAAAGGTGAAATTTACAGTAATTTGGACTGCTCCGTGTCTGAAGTTTGAAATTTGGTGTGACATCAAAATACCAACTTCTCTAGATATCTTTGGAGCCACTCAAGGTATCAATAAGCCCAGAGTATCTTTCTTTTTTGCAGTGGAAAATTGAGTAGATGATGAGAAGGAAGCTTGAAATGGAGTTTCAAAAAAACAGACAAGGAAAGATTTCTCACTATGGGGTGTACAGAATTTTGCGTGTGCCTTACATCTTGATACATTATTTGTTTGTGCACCCTCATCCTGACTTGAGAAAAACTACCCATACCTGAAGCTGAATAATACAGTTTGAGTTCCTCATTGTGTCAATACAATAGTGGCTCTCAAAGTAGACCCAGTTCAAAAAACCTGGTTGTCCCAGTTAACTTTTTGGCTATGAGCTGTCAACAAATGTCAACTTGATCCACAAGCTGGTTACTGCCAAAAAGCAACTTGTTCAACTGGGGTTTGTTGGAACTGGGTCCAATTTGAGAGCTAATGACATCCAACATCCAAAATCCAGCTTGGATGTGTTACAGCTGTTTCAAGAAAAAACTGCTGCCCTGCTTGTTTTTTATTTTTTATTTTTTCAAGGTTGCACTAAAAATTAATGACCCAGATTATACATAGAGCAGCTGTAGTCAACTAAGCTTTATATATTGTAATCCACCCTATAAGTGTCCTCCCACCTTTCTGCTGGTTGCAACCATACCAAAGCTTGTGCATTTTGGATACAAAGACAGCAACAATGGTGATCTTTCACAATCACTGCACCCTTGAATGAGTCACCTACAGCTCTTCTGTAGGATCTAGGTCAGTGATATTTAGTACAGCCTTCAAACATAAATAATAAAAAACCAAGCAGGCAGTGTTTTTTGTCAAAAGAGCTGTATAACATTTGACCCTGCTGAGAAGACTCTGTTTGCTCAGTGTCCTACTAGCAAAGAACTTGTTAAAAACTTAAAATAGTTCATTTATGTTATAATGCTACTTTTTTCTCCATATCCCTGTTGATTGTGATCTTTTGTGATGCAAAGTAAATCTGCACCAAACCTGTACTTAGGTTTTGTTTAATTCTTGGGAGGCTGAATTGACAATTGCTCATGTACAACCACCTTTTTGAAATGCACTGTTGTATTGGCACATATGGTACAATTTTTGAGTCCAATAGGGGTTGGGCAAAAAAGCGACCAACTGGTTTTGCGCCCTTGAGAAGTGATTCAAAAAGAGCCGAAGATGGCCAAAATCAATTGTGGACGGTGGCCGAGGAGCGCCATATGCGCCAAAACGACAAAATGTCAAATTGCCCCAATTTGGCCCCAATTGAGGCCCCGTCCAGCCTGTTTGGGCTGTCACTTCCTGACTCTTGTCGCCCTCTCACTTGATGGGCTATTCCACTTCCACTCCAAAATTTCTTGTCAACACCCCCTTTTTGAATCTCATCCGTTGTTGTTTCCTTTATTGCATGATCAAGAGAATCTTCTTTATGAACTCTTACATAAGCATAAAGGCGTTATAAGGCATCAATTAACATTTTTTAGAACTTGAAGTTCTGGTTAAAGAAATCCATACGATACCGTGTTTATTGTTTTCATTGTTCTTATTGTTCTTATCTTTTATCCTATGTTCTTGCTACATTGTTCATCTGTTCTTGTTTGTAGTTTGGCAAGCTTCCACTTGTACCAAAACAAATTCCCAGCAGATGCGGAGTCTCCCGGGCTAATCAAGTAGCCGATACCGTGGAGTACCAGTCCAAACAGGCTGGACAGGGCCCCAATCGGGGCAAAAATGGGGCAATTTGTTGTTTTGGCGTTTTAGCGCAACTGGCGCTCCTTGGCCACCGTAATTGTGTGAAGGTTTCACAAAGGTTTCACAGGTCTGCCAAGGTCTGCTGCTCTGCCAGGGACCCAAAGAGTCCCAAAGTCAGTCTTTGGCTCTGATTTTCCTCCTCCAGCCCCCACCGATTGCTCAGCAAAATCCACACCAGGTGGTACTTGGGTAGACTGTTGCACCTTTCACAGAAGAGACCAGAGACCTGTAAAAGGTGAACAGAGCATTTGTGTGGCTTGTAGCGGCACAAATGGCTTAGCCCTGTAAGACTTTTGAATGGCGACAGCTTTGGAGTCGTGAAGAAACACTTCATACCGGTATATTTTTTTGCGACACAAAAAGACAGACAAAAATGTTTGTCAGTTTTGAGTGGCTTTCATATTGCTTTTGAGCAATCTCAAAAGCATTCCCAAATTTTTGAACTGTGACTGAATTGAGTTTGCCAACCGGTTGGTCGCTTTTTCGCCCAACCCTTAATATTGAGTTTCACCAAAAGATTGAATGGAATGTTACCCGGTTGGCTTGCTGCCATTAGAGGAAGGATCTGTAGTCGGAACAGATTCACTCTGATTCTACACCCTGCTCTGGAGTGAAGCCAAAGCCACTGAAATTACCACCCGGCAACATTTGATGAGAGATACATACACATTTCTTTGTACAAACATGGTCAAATTGATGTATATGGGCAGTGCAGTGGTGTCTATCACTTATTTTGTTTGGGGAATCCTGGCAATGCTTGGCAAGATATAGACATATTTGTCTGTTATGGGTAGTATGACTGTACGTGTAATTTTAAACGCTAGATGACTTCAGATGATAGATTTAGAATTGTCGAAGTCTTTATCGGTTTGGAGTTCCGCTGCGATATCGAATGTGATATGAATTGGTCCAGAATGTTAAGACAAGATGTTGAGGAACTCGCTCAGGCGATGAATTGGTGAGAAATGCAGGCCGCAGTGATCTGAAGTTGCAATGGACAAGTACAAAAGTCATGCAGGGGAGCGGAGGTAGCGGAGCTTGTTATAGGACATAAACCATATTCAAGGAAAGCAACCGGCCGCATGCCCGGCCTTTGTGTTTCGGTACACATTGTCTGCGTCTGCCCAGGCAATCAAACCGTAGGCTGTGAAGAGAAGGGTGTACATATGAGTTGTTCTTAGTACTTAGATGACACCTCTTGATGAATCCAATAGGCTAGTCAGACTTACCAGCAGCAAATGGAAATGCAAAGTAAGGCACCTGTACAACAATTCGTCGATACCCTTGGAATAGGGAATGGCTGATCACATTTTTCATGGGACTTTGACGGTAGGGCGAGATAGCTAAGAGACCGCGTTTGAAAGTACACGGACCACAGGGATCAAAAGGATAACGAGGGGAAGAGGGACAAGATGAACATCATGATCAACTGCGGCACATCAGCGAGCAAGACAACAAGCGAAGCGCACCATATTGAACGATGCCTTTCTGCTTAGGCCCTCCCATGCTCCCCCACCATCCGATCTGATAGAGTAGAAAGTTCGAATTGAAAAAATAGATGTCAGGAACTCCCTTCGTGGTATTTCACATTGAGAGAATCGAGGCCTTACATAGTGTTTGCCTGTCATTATAGCAAGATGGAAGACATCAGGATCAAGTCAGCGAGATTCTTCCGATCGTGTTACATGTGGCGTGAATTGAGAGATAAAAGTTGACAAACCGGTGGGCATGGCGGATTGAGAAGGCTTGGTTGGGAACATGGCGAATGAGATTTCTGATAATATCGACTTTCGAATCTTCTGGCGCGATGGTGTCTGCAGTGGAGGTCGCTGGACTGTGGACAGGAGGAAGGGACGAGCCAATCGGGTGTAGCCGCAACGCAAATTGTGTGTACATTACAATACATATGCGGTACTCTCACGGGTCGGGCTGCTGAAAACGGTACCGCAACGATGTCATCGAGTGGCTCGATTGGCATTGAACACGTACGACATCACTCTACTATTATTACTTCTAAAGTAGTCTAACTAACAACATGGGTGAGTACTCTTGATTGGATTGTTTTCTCAGATCAAAGGAAACTTATCCTCATCCGTTTATCAATTTATCAGGCGTCTCCAAAGTCAGTAGCGGGCGTCCCCGTCTCCGGTATTTCGCGACCTGTTGAGAATTCCAAGAGCTGACGATGATTACTGCTCTTTAGTTCTTCAGATGGATGAGCGAGCGGTACCCTTTTGTATTGAAGCTGGTGGAGCAGAACCGAATCCCTCAATTTGGTGTGCCTAAGTGTCTTGAATATCTTCTGGACGTGATCAACATCTGACACTGTTCACCTAAATGCAGATAACTTGTATCTCGATATGAATGGGATCATCCACAATTGCAGTCACCCGAACGAGGAAGATGCGCACTTCCGTATGTACGCATTGGTCACTTTGTACTCGGGCTTTTGATTCGCGCGACCATTCTTCGCATTTGCAATATGAGCATTCCTCACCATTTCGATGCACATCGAACGAACCTTTTGATGAAATTGATACAGAACGGAGGAGCAGATATTCCTAGCGATATTTGGTTACTTAGAGCATCTGTTTGCTTTGGTCAAGCCGCAAAAACTGTTCTTCATGGCCGTAGACGGAGTGGCACCACGAGCCAAAATGAATCAACAAGTAAGTAGTTGGTTAGTTGCCCTGCCCTTGATAGTTTGGAGGTGCTCATTCGCTCCGATCAGCGTTCCAGGAGGTTTAGAACTGCCAAAGATCGCAAGGATATGATCGATAAAGCTGAGCGCAAAGGAGAAACGCTTCCATCCACGGAAGCCTTTGATAGTAATTGTATTACTCCAGGTCAGACGTCCATCAGCGGTCTCTCATATTCGCACTATACTTATGTCGTGGCTCAACTTCAGGAACTCCTTTCATGGCAAGGTTATCTGAACAGTTGAAGTATTTCATAAATCAAAAGGTTTCGACCGACTCGGCATGGCAAGGTGTTCAAGTGGTATTCAGTGGACATGACGTAGGTTTCTGCGATTGGGTTCGCCAAAAAATTCTGATGGATGAACCTCTTTCGCTCTTTGTTCATCAATTTTAGGTTCCTGGAGAGGGTGAACACAAAATTATGGAATATATCCGGCTAGCCAAAGCCCAACCTGACTATAACCCGAACGTCCGGCATTGCCTTTATGGTCTGGACGCGGACCTGATCATGTTGGCATTGCTATCTCATGATCCGCACTTTTGTTTATTACGAGAGGAAGTGAAATTTGGCCCTGCAAGAAAACAAAGTCATAAGGGACTCGAGGAACAGGCCTTCTATCTGCTACATATCTCGCTGGTCCGAGAGTATCTCGACTTGGAGTTTGCAAGCCTACGAACTGTTGATAAAGCCGCCTCTGGGCCCACATTCCAATACGACTTAGAGCGCATCATTGACGACTTTATCCTTCTATGCATATTTGTGGGAAATGATTTTCTACCCCATCTTCCCGGCCTGCATATCAATGAAGGAGCATTAGGTCTATTGTTTGAAATCTATAAGAAAGTTGTACCTGTCGCGGGTGGATATCTCAACGAGTCTGGAAAGCTAAATACGCAGCGCCTTCAACTTATATTGAATGAATTAACCGCACGCGAACGAGAAGAGTTCGAACACGAATTTGCGGATACCAGCTGGTTCAAGGGGAAACAAGCTTCTCATGTCGAACAAGTGAAAGCATCTCGCAAAAACTCACAACTTGTTCTGAGTCCTCAACAGCGGAACCTTTTCAGTGCGATTGACCGATTCATTATTGCATATTGGAAACATCCGACCCCTGCAACATCCACCATATCGTTCCCCGCCAATTATCCCGCCAAGGACCGCCGTTTCTTGGCTGACCTGGCCAATGCTCTCAACCTGGCAATCAGCTTTGACGAGTACAATGATGAAGATGAACCTATCATTGTTCTGTCAATTCAATCTGACGGGGAGGATCAAAGTACAGCCAATGACATTGCAGACATGCTTGAAAATACTACCTTGGTGGACGATAGCGAACATGCGGAGTCGAGAATTGCAGCTGAGCGAGTACTACATAGATACAGAGAAGCGCCTACCGCCAAGGACTTGACCACAGAGGAAGTGGAAGCGCGACAGGAAGACATACACAATGAGAAGATAAAAGAATGGAAATCAGAATATTACTCGGTAAAATTTCAACTCATTGACATCATCTCAGACTTCTTCCTAACATCATGGATTTTGTGTAGCAAAAAATGAATCTTGATCTTTCTGATCCCGCACAACTCGAGAAACTGGCCTACACTTATGTGGAAGGCTTACAGTGGGTCCTGCATTATTACTATGACGGTGTGGCGTCGTGGAGTTGGTTCTATCCTTACCACTATTCTCCGAAGATCTCGGGTCAGTAGACTCAAATCGGATCACTACGCCCTTTCTGGTGATCTGCGTAATGAATCTTAGGCCTATACGGAGCTGATGATGTCCGTAATATGTGTGCTCAGATCTTTGCCACGTTGACACCTATCAATTCGATTTCGCACTTGGCCAACCTTTCAAACCGTTCGAACAACTCATGGGAGTATTACCTAACCTGAGCTCTGCTCATGTTCCTCCTGTTTTTCGGGTTAGTTGGATATCAATCTGATCAAGACTGTCTTCTTCGACCATCAGCTGATGGGGTACTGATTCATCCTGTACATAGGATTTGATGACCAACCCCGAATCCCCAATTTTCGACCTCTACCCCCAAGACTTTGAGACGGATATGAACGGCAAAAAACAAGAATGGGAGGCGGTTGTGAAGATTCCGTTCATCGACCAGGAGAGGCTTTTAAGAGCAATGCGGGGTGAGCGATCTGTCCGCTTCCCTGTCAGGTTTGCTACCCGTGCTGACCACCGCAGACAATCGATGAAACTCAGGTCCCGAACATCGATTGACTGAAGAAGAGCGAAACAGAAATACCTTCGGAACCAGTTGGCTTTTTGAACACGATCCTAATATCTCTGCAACTTACCCATCATCCCTGCCAGGTTTCTTCGCTGATCTCCATAACTGTCGCAGCAAGATGACACCCTATGATCTACCTACTCTGGGTGGTCTCCGTCTTGTCAAAGGTTTATGCGAAGGTGTCTTGTTGGGAAAAGATGCTATTGCGGGATTTCCTTCATTACATAACCTGCCGCATTATGGGACATTAAGCTTTCACGGGATCACTATTTATCAGACGGCAAGCAGAAAAGAGACTATCGTTGTCCATATTGAGAATTTATTTGAAAGTTTGAAAGTTGAAGACATCGCTAGAAGTCTGATTGGTAATCGCGTTTACATCGACTACCCCTTTCTTCGAGAAGCCAAGGTTGTCGGTCTTTCCGACTCCCTATTTCGTTATGAACTGGATACAAAAACCTCACAGCTCTGTCCCACCCCACATACTGATGCCAAACTAGCAAGTTATAAACGAACCGTCGAGCATCTAGAGTATAATTATTCAAAAAAGTGTGGGCTGATCACGGGAGAGATCGAGGTCTTGTTGCACGTCAAACCAATCAAGTCCTTGACCCGAGCTGAAGATGGTGCGTTGATAAAAGAATATGAAGAACGTGAAGTCGAACATGCTCTTCAAACCGTCGTCACATCTGTTTCCTCTGAAGATCCCCGGTTTCTGGTGCGTTTTGCCTCAATGTTGGTCTTTTGCAGTGCTCTAATGAATCATTCGTCTGGCAGGAGCGGGCCGCGTGTCCCATTGAAGAAGAATTTCCTGAAGATTGCCCCGTATTTTTCTTGGGAGCATCGCAATATGGTAGTACAGGTAGTATCGTTGGGCATGCTAGTGACAGTCTCGCCATTCGCATTGTGGTAAGACCCCAGCCTTTGACATCTCTTGTGCTCACATCTAATGTCCAATGCCTCCTAAGAGATCGTGCCGCCAAGATTGATGGAGCTATCTGTTGATTGCGTCTCAGTTTTTTCCGGACGAAAAGCAAGAAAATTTAGCCTTCAAAAGTGCTCTTCGATCTCATCACTCTGAGAACTACCTACCTTCGCATATGGTATCCAAGAGGCTTGGGATCCGGGCGTTAAGCCTGAGTAAAATAACTTCGAGTTTAATGCTTTTCGAGTCACCTACCAGCGATAATAAACTGAACATCGGACTCAACTTGAAATTCGAAGCCAAGGCGCTTAAAGTCTTGGGTTATTCGCGCAAAAACGAGAACGGATGGGAATACTCAACCAAGGCTATTGAGTTGCTCGCGGAGTACAATGTGAGAACATATTGGATTACACGACTTCTAGTTCTTTAGCTAACCTCCGCCACTCACCTACATCGATGTGCCTGTAGCGCTTGTTTCCAGAGATTGCTCGAACTCTAGATGGCCACGCCAACGAAGATCTCTCGCGAATCGAAGTTTTTTTTCCACATGATGCAGAAAAGAAAATCGCCGAGATGAAAGCCTGGTTGAAAGAAAAAAATGTGAAGGGATTTGAAAGGGTATCATTATATGCTGAGATGTTGGACAGTAGCTCGATAGCGCAGCTCGAAGCACTAGCTATGCGCTACAAAGCAACAAAGGTTCCAGAGCGCATGAAGCAAGCGATCATTCGCAATATTCCCAGGAGGGCCGTTCTGAAGCCTGCTCATGCCTCAGTACGCTTACAGGGGCAGACGTTCCAAGTGGGCGATAGGGTGGTTCTGGTCACGGATAGCGGAGCCGTACCCCTCAGCGCCAAGGGCACTGTGGTCGGCTTGAGTGATCACCTAATTGATGTGGTGTTTGACGCGCCGTTCATTGGCGGCACCAATCTGTCTAACAAGTCAGTCCCTGAATTCAAAGTCAGCCGACCTCATTGCACCGAACAGCTACTGACTCTCATGATTGTAGATGCTCCGCATATCGAGGTGCCTCGGTTTCCCCTGCGGCCCTTCTCAACTTAACGAGTCCCCAATATGCACATAGCATCGCCGCAACGCATCCTCCTACAACAATTTCTCCACCAACGGGTTCCCCCTATCGAAATGGCTTGCAGTTCGCGCAGGGAAGAAGAGTACAGCCTGCACTTATCCCACGGCAAGCTCAAGAGCCGAACGCATATCCGCCAGCCTCCCATAGAGGCACAAGAGGCATAACAAGACCAGCTTCCAATCGAGCACCGCCAACTTCGACGCATGTGGCTCGCCCGAGTCATCATTCAGCCACAGGACCGGGATCCCTTCTAGAGGTCCTTCAAACAAACAACGCAACCCAATCAATGAACAGAGGTTCCGCATGGCGGGGAAGGGGCGTGAACGTGACTAATGGGCCGAGCAGACCTAGCTACCATGCCGTTCCACCACCGAGGATTCTTACTGCGCGACGTGGAGGCCCTCCGCGCGGCCGGGGACAACATGCATATCCTGTGGCGCAACAACTGCCAGGGGGGTTTCTTCCTGTGTCTGTAGAAGCTCGGTCAAATGGCACAACTACCACACATCCTCCCAGAGGGGGGTCTCCAGCACCACGCGGACGCGGCACAAGGGGAAGGCGAGGATCCGCAGCTTAGAGGTTCCAATCCACGCAAGGAAAATGGTGTGTGTCCAATAGAAGCATTTTTAGACTGCAGCCAGTCTGGCTTATTACAAATATGAGGTTTGTATGGAGTGAAATTCTTCAAGGATCTGTGCTTTCTCTGCTTGCTGTAATGGAGGAAGCTCATTGTATGTAAGAATAGGTCTATCTATCATGAAAGCTCAACTGCCGTTGACCTCTTCAAGAGTTAGAAGAACAACGCCAATTGGAAAATCGTCTCTGCTGATGATAATCTTAGATCAGATTGGAACATGGGATGAGATGAACGCAATGAGACTTGTAAGACGGGCTATTCTCAGAGAGGAGCACCATTCAGGAGAGGGTCTTACACTGCACAGATCCCCATTTGGAGTCTGGTCTGGGTCGTCGAGTTTGAAGTCTTTTGAGTACAAATTGTCAACAATTTGGTAAATTCTTAGCATAGTTTGTAATCCTCAACCAAGAGCAAGGGTCAAACGCGTTGATATCTCGAGCCCGATCAACAACTTGCAATTCGACATGAGTACATATGACACAGATTTTACAGGAATGAATTCAAGTGTGCGAAGATTTCGAGTTGGTACTCGCTATGAGCATACTGAAGTATTCCTATACAGAGTAGCCGCATACAAGATACATAGATGTGTACAGTGCGACCGCATTAAAAATTAGATCAAACAAAAAAAAATGCTCGGCCAACTCCAAACTTGCTCAATCGCTTCTCTTCCTCAATTCTCGCCAACAACATTCACACTCGATGGCCACTGCGTCTACCATCAACGCCGATCCGTCTGTTATCGCCTTGACGGACATTGCTCAATCATATGATACCATGTCAGTCTTTATACTTTTACATTGTCTCCTAATTTGTTCGACTTACGCACCATGCTGATTGGCTGCAGTTGTTTATTCTGCTTTTTAGTTTGATTCTTGACTTTGGTTCTCAATATTCTCACCTAATCACAAGACGATGTCGAGAACTCAACGTAACGCCTTGTTCAGATCCTGCAATTGTGTCATGTTCCAGATGACTGCGGTAATTGACGCACAATCGTCATTTTTAATGTCTTAGGTTTACTGTGAAATGCTACCATGCACGTTCAAAATAAAGCAGCTGAAATGGCGGCCCAAAGGAATAATCCTGTCTGGATCTCCCTACTCGGTGTATGAGCCAGATTCTCCTAGGGTTGACCCAGACGTCTTCACGTTGGGTGTACCTGTTTTGGGTATATGTTATGGATTGCAAGAGATTGCTCGAACATTTGGGGGTAAAGTCATTGCTTGCGATCGTAAGGAATATGGTAGCGCTATGCTTGATATCCGCAAGGTCGATAGCAATGGGAACCCGAACGTCTTATTTGATGGCCTCGGAGACCAAGTTCAGGTGCGTACTTTCATATCTTCTCCATCCCGATGATGGTTTGATGACTCTCCATTCTATATCTGTATCGATTGCATATGTCAACAGGTCTGGATGTCACACGGCGACCGAGTAGACAGCTTGCCGCAAGATTTTCAGATCCTAGCGGACACCCCTTCTGCCCCTTATGCTGCGATCAGTCACCTGACCAAGCCCATCTATGGTGTACAGTTCCACCCTGAGGTTACTCATTCTCCTATGGGAAAAGAAATCATCCAACGATTTGTTGTCGGTGTTTGCCAATCGAAGACGGATTGGACGATGGTGTGCTATATGAATTTTTCCTTCGATAGGGGTCCTAGGCGCTTATCTGAATCATCCTACTTCCTGGCCACAGGAAACCTTCATTGACAAAGAAATCGCTCGAATCCGAAGTGTGGTAGGACCCGAAGATCATGTGATTGGTGCAGTGTCTGGTGGTGTAGATTCATCGGTGGCCGCTAAGCTGATGAATGAGGCAATCGGACATCGATTTCATGCCATCATGGTTGACAATGGTCTTCTCCGAATGAATGAGGCCGATCAAGTTCATAAAATGCTGAATGAGGATTTAGGTGTTAATCTGACTGTGGTGGACGCTACAGATACCTTTCTAGATGCTTTGAAAGGTATAGAAGACCCAGAAGCAAAGAGGAAAATCATCGGAAACACTTTCATCAATGTTTTTGAAGCCAAAGCTGAAGAAATCGATGTCGAACTTCAGAAGCAGGCAGGATCTCAAGACTCGCAGAACCGAATTAAATATCTTCTGCAAGGTACCTTATACCCAGATGTGATTGAAAGTATCAGTTTCAAGGGACCTAGTGCGACCATCAAAACGCACCATAACGTTGGAGGGTTACTTGACGACATGAAATTGAAACTCATAGAACCCCTTCGTGAACTCTTTAAAGGTGATCCATTCTAAATGCACAGTTCGAAGATGTCCTCTAGCTAACATGATCAACTTTGATACTTTCAGATGAAGTCCGCGCCTTGGGAAGACTGTTGAATATCCCGGCCCACCTGGTTAATCGCCATCCTTTCCCAGGTCCTGGATTAGCTATCCGAATCTTAGGTCCTATCACAAAAAGCCAACTTGATATTGCCCGAAAAGCGGACGCAATTTATCTAGAGGAGATTGTACGAGAACCAAATCTATATAATGCAATCAGTCAGGCATTTACCGTTCTGTTGCCAGTCCGTGCTGTTGGTGTCCAAGGTGACAAAAGAACTTATGAGCAAGTCATTGTCTTGAGGGCAGTCAAAACGGAGGACTTCATGACCGCTGATTGTGAGTTAGACACCGGTTCCCGTTTCTATTACATCTCAATCGCTCACAAGTTTTCCGACATGCAGGGTTTGACTTCCCTCCACATGTCCTAAGACGGATATCTTCACGTATCACAAATGAGGTTCAAGGAGTGAATCGAGTAACTTACGACATTTCTTCAAAACCTCCAGGAACAGTAGAAGTGAGTTTCAACCTGTTGTCTATACCTCACATCTGTTTATTAACGCTTTTTGCTCAACTTCAGTGGCTATGAGTAAGATATTTTCTGTTATTTTTTTGCATGTGCATAAGATGTACTAGACTTGTTAGATGTGCCGTCAATCCCCATAGATTGCAATAATAAGTTTCCAGGACTGCTTTAGAGGTAGCAAGTTTAAGCTGAGATCGCATGACACCTCATAAGTCCTGAATTGAGTAGGCAGAGTAGGAGACATAAGAAGAACAATTCACTCCCTGCGTGGGAAGTATTTCAAGACTGACATGGCTTACAGTCCATCTTGAGGGTGCCCTGGAGGTGAAGGCTGAAAAAATCTTTGATTCAACTTAGATTTTTTGTATCCCAACATCCCACCTCATCCCACCCATTGTGCTTAGCTTTGGTATTCTTATTGTAGTGTGCGCCGCCCCTCGGGTCTCTGGTTCGTTCTTACACTGCAATTCACTCAGGCCCTCCGGGGTCGTCCAGCGTTTTGATAGTAAAAAGCTCTAGTCTTTGATCAAGATCTTAGGTAGCCTTAACCTCTTCCTCTTTTGTCTACTTCAAGACTGTATTCACGTTCCATAAAATAAAGATTTGTATTACTCTTTTTCCCTTTTTCTTCGTTGACCAAGGCAAATATTTACTATTTCCTTCTCAATCAAAGTTATATCTTTTACCTCGCCTGTTTCCGAGGAAAAAGTGCATGACTACAGAAAGATTGGTCACTTAAATTAGATGTGTACTGGCATACACACATGTGTAGTAACAGCGTTGGTGGTGTAGCTGGTGTGCATGGACTCTGACAAGGCCGTCAAGGTTGATAAACATCTAACTTTGATTACCTCTATACTATAACTAAGAATTTGAGGTTTTGTAATACAAGGGAGAGCAATGAGATGGACTGATACTCAGGGCGCGTTCACTTAAGGAATTTCTGACCAGAAATCACATTCTGTAAATTTTTTAATTCAAAAATGAAACATGCAGCACCAAATGGACACTTCAAATTTTGCAGGATGATTTCTCACCAGAAATCGCTCAAGTGAACGTGCCCTCAGGGCATGTTCACTGGTAAGATATATATATACTGGTTCTGCTTTCTGTTCTTTTATTCCCCAACACTTCACTTCTCCACAACTCATCACTCCACCTTCCAAACTATACATCCTTTCAATATTCCTACAATTCTTCATCTTATCTTAAAATCTCACACTGTCCCTCAACCAATTACAAACACAAAATGTGTGATTATCCTGACCAGTCTTGTGAATGGAAGAGGCAACTTGCCTGCAAGGGGCTTGCTACGTTCCGGATGCCCACGTTTTGTACGCTTGCCAGCACCATCCCTCCATGTAAGCCAATCTTTACACATTAGATGCATATCTTCATTTTTACTTCACTAACATGTCAAAAACAACCCTATGTCCTTTGTACTTTTCTTGGTGGTGAGTGTTTTCCCAACATCACAGTAGTCACATCTCTTGTATGCTGATCAGTACATCTTCCCAATTCACTTGACCCAGCTCATTTGTACCACACTTGTGCTGTAGGTATCTGGAATCTGCATACATGTAGATAGTACAATACTCCATGGCTCACATCACACTGATGTGCACTCATCTTTTCTTTTTGACGACCATTACGGATCTGCCTTCATTTTTGATTACATGGTGGTATTCATACTCTTTACCATCCATATCATCTTTTGTCAACTAGCACAATCCATGGCATTGGAATCTATGCTCTCTATGGATGAGAAGGATTTGAAGACCGCTTTGTGCCAGTCAAGTTTTTAATTGTTCACACATTGCTCATCATGGTAAGCTGGGCCTGAATTCACATTCACAACCAAAGTTTAAAATCTTCAATTTCCTTCTGTTTTGTTTTGGTAGGCTTTTAATTCTCTTTACAGTTTGGTGACTGGATGCAGACCTGGTGAAAACAATCTGCATTGTGATGTTAGATGTGTATGGCATTTGGAACAGGACACACCTCACAAGGTTGTAGAACAGCAGGAGAAACAAATGTTGATCAATTCTGCCTGATTACCAATGAGCTTGCTGTGTTTTTCTCTTGTTACCAAACCTCTTTGTAGCAATACCTAATAGTATCTTTGCAGTCAAATTCATCACACTTCAGTGCCAATAGGATGTCACTTGCCACACCATTGTACACAACTGAAGCAATCTTTAGAGACTGAAGTGATGGTTGGAAATTCAATGAATTCACGACTTGCTGTGATTTTGATTGAAAAATTAGACAATGAGGATGCAAATAAAAGTCACAAGCTTATCATTAGGACAAAACAAGGGCAAAGATGCTGTGATGTTTAAGATTGATGAATTTCTAAAATTGGTAAGATTGAATGAGAGTTGAGATTCTCATTCCTTGTGAGTTTGAACACATTTCAACTAAGGGGAATAGGTGGATTGGCTTAGTGAGAATGGTGAAATCTGAAAGACTCTTTTGTGGTTTGGGGTTGGCACAAAGTGTTAACAAAGTGCAATGTGTGAAATGGGGAATGCAGGTGGGGGAATGACATACTGGCATCGGGTCACACATGTAAGCTTATCTAAAAACAGGTGCAAGAAAAAGCCAACAACAGACTCCCCCAACAAGTGTACGTACATGCACTTCATCCGGCCTCAGTCTCACCTCCCAGTTGTAGAGCTTTCCTTGATTTTGTATCTTTCTTATCAAAAAATTGTGTATTAAAAATCCAAAAACTATCTCCAGCTTAATCATTTAGTACAGTTTGTTCTACATACATTTATCTACAAATCCAACTTCAGTTTTCAGTCTTGTTATTTTTTCAGTTGCTATAATTTTTTTTTGTTTCCTACCAACCACCCTTCTTGTCAAACAAAGGGTTAAGGTACATGTGGTGCAAAAGTTGTTTCTATATTTCTCTTTCACACAGTTATCTATTTTACAGGGAGAGGGGAGCATCACAGTGGGATTGCTCAGCGCCAAGTTTGGCCACCCACAGTGCTCTCTCTCTCATCTTTTCCCACCCTGGGCCACCATGAGTAACACACATAACCGTCAGCCAAATGAACCAGCACTGATTCATTGTGTCATCATTTTAGAGCCTTCTTATCTTGAGAGAGTAAGAGGGGCACATGGCAAACACCATGGGCTGCAATTTTGTGTCATTGTCAACTCCCTCTAGCCAACCATTCCATTATGAGACTTTACATTGAATGCATACGACTGTGAGAAATTCTAATAAACCTGTTCAGTACTGCATTCAAGGCTCCTGTGCATTCTGAGATGTATGGTGCTTGCATTCTGACCCCAGAATTACAGCCTGAGAAAGCAAAAAGGGAAATTGCAAGATATTGGAATGTTTTTTTTGACAAAGTTGCAATAGCAAATGCCAAAATCATAATCATGTGTAGAATGATTTCAAAGGTACCCAGCCAATCTTGAAATGTATCAGGCAACAAAAAGTAAATTGAATTTGGACAGCAAAAAAGGGCTTGCAAGGAGGGGAAAAGAAAGGTGAGAAAGGAAAAGTGGGAGGACACAATGTGGCCCTTTGCTTTTGCACATTGAGTTTAACAGCATGAGATCTAGCTCATAAAGCTACTTGCTGAGATTCATTTGCACTATCCAGTCATTCCCTTTTGATCTTTGGTATTTCTACTCATGTTTTTTCTTTCAATGCTTGCTGTTCTGCTAGTTGTACCCTCCAAAAGGTCATTCCAACATGCTTTTGATTTCACATTGTCTCTGTTGTGATTGACAAAGACCTGAAGAGTTTGACTTGTGCTATTCTTTTTCCTCACATCCCATATTGATGATCCTCTGGGTTTGAATGAATCCATCAAATGTGAAAACCCAGGACTCCATTTGCATGATGGCTCAGTAATTTAAACTTTTTGCATACCCTTCAACATCATTGGTTGCTCATGCTCAAATTTTTCAATATTACCATCAGGCTTCAATTGAATTGGACTGTGTCCTTCACCTTCCTTCTGATGTGATAATATCTGTTCTGAATTGCTATTCCAATCCCTCCAAGAACCATCCACTGGAGAGACTTGCTATCTCTGTTTCTGCATATCTTTCTTCCATTCTCTGATTAAATTACTGTTACAATATTATCTTGTGAAGTGTTCAAAGATAATTAATCCATCTTGTGGTTTGTGTAGAGGTGTAGGTTGAGGTTGTGTTAGCAGGAATAGTGGTTGCTTAATTAGGAAGGAGATGTGGTTAGTAGATATAAATTCTTTGATCAAGCCTCACTGATCAAGATTGACGATGCTAGTAAATGCCTTAAACTAGCTGGTGGGGATGTTTCGTTGGCTGTTCACAGTTGAGGAGTTGCTAAGTTCTCAGCTGGAGATGAGACGGTATTTGAACTGAAGAATTCGCTTTACGTACCTGAACTTTCAAGAAACCTCGTGGCTGGTGGATTACTGAAGAAACAAGGTGTTAGAGAGATGTTTCACGACAATAAAAATTTCTCATTAGTTCTAAATGATCTAGCAATCTTCAACGGGTTCATCTCTGATAACAACCTCATGTTCATTCTGCTCAAGCCTGTGAGTGGTTTGAACTCATCATCATCAACATCAACTTCTGTCACTGAAATCACTTCATCACTTCAACACCGTTGCTTAGGGCATGTAAGCAACAAATACCTGAAGCTCATGGCAAGGTTGGATAGTGTTGAGGAATTCGAGTACATTGATGAAAATTTAACTTGTGATATCTGTTCTCTATCCAAGAATACAAAACTTCCACATAACAAAACCAGACCACGTGCTCGCACATTTTTAGAAAATGTTCATGTAGATTTAAGTGGAATTATCAGGACTGCTGGTTTAAACAATGAAAATTATTTTATTTTATTCTGTGATGATTTTTCTGTGTTCCGGCACATTTATCCTTTAAATGACAAAACCAAAGAGGAGGTCTACGAAGTTTTCATGGCATATATTGCTGTTGCCAAACGGCAGACTGGATGTTCCTTAAAACAATTTACCCTTGATTGCGGCTCCGAATTTCTTAACAGCCTACTTGGTCCGAAGCTCAAGGAGTTAGGGATAGTTCTTCATCTGACATCTGGTCATGCTCCCGAGCAAAATGGTGTCTCAGAACGCGGCATGCGCATTGTCAATACCAGGGCGCGTTCTATGATGCTT